TGTTAACAGAAAAATGCAGTGCGCCATTTCAGATCTGCAAACAAATGCAGACACACAAACAGACATCAACTCTCTTTTCTTTTCTAACCAATGCATTATCTGGGGAACTGCCTCTCTCGCTGCCTCTTTGCACTCATCCTATTAAAGGCTGCCAAATTGATTTTGATAACAATTTCAATTAAGGCTCTGCATAAATTACCGCTATAAGTGTCACACATACATCTTTCATTCTAGAAATGTGATTATGCAGCGTGTGGATTGGCTTGTGAGTTCACGTGACTGCATGTGTGTGAATACAAGGGCACGCATTGTATTCGAGTCAGTCCTCAGCTTCACTGATTACATTTCCCTTGTTTCATTTCCTTCCCTTGTCAAAAGAAGCAAGTCAGTAATGATAAGGACGACAAGTTGCACAACACTTTGCGCACAAACACACACCCACACAGATGTACACAAAACAGTTTTTTTGTTTTGTTTTTTGTTTTTTTGTAAAAACAAAGACATCCATCCTCTTTCAGGTTYAGATTTTAAACACTCACCTTGAAATAACAGCCTTCTTATACTTATGATTGTTTGACGAAGCATTTACAGACTTTGAGCTTCACAACTAAAACAGGATAGCTGATATTCTTTTATAGTTTGTAATCATTGTTTGGCTTCAAACACAACATAAAGCACATTTTTTTTATTTCCTTCAATTATACTCCACAATTTAAATTTCTCAAATTTTGCGAACAAAATGCATGAACAATAGCTTGCAAAACATGGAGCTGCAGTCAAGCAGCAGTTTAGTGAATCGTGGACAAAACTTGCCAAACATAAGAAACATACTGTACCTACACAATTACACCAAGTGCTTTATTTAGCAAGAATGCTATAAAACAGTGTTTAACCTTGTTCTGAAGTGAGACAAAGAAACAAAACTTCATAGGAAAGAGCGAATATGTGACCTATAAACGATATTTTCCTCTCTTTAAAATGTTTTCTTATTAGCTAGCTGTACATCACGATGTGAGCAATTGTTGAGACTGGAAGCCTAAATCATGTAAAGAAAACAGATTAAGTTCTCAGATAAATGTTTAATTTTAGATCTAAAGACACTTAGAGCCTGTCTGCAGCTTCGGAGACCTAAAAGCAAAATAGTTTTGTTTGACGGGTCCATACAGTGTTTACAGAAATCCTGGTCACACCCCTTATATGATGTAATCATAAACAAGGAAGTGTCCAAAATACAGCTCTTCGTTCCTTAAATGTAAAACATGTTTACACTGCTGGAGCGAGGCACACATTAAAGCAGAGATTTCATGATTCTCTGTTTAAAGTAAATTATTACAATTGATCACAAAATAAACTAGAAGCACTCTGAGAGTACAAACCTCTGCCAAAGGAGAGATGGAAACACATTTGCTGCATAAGTTCTGAYGWAGTGAATATTTAAGCAGGCAGTATGGACAGGATTTCATTCTGGTGGAGTTCARTTGAGGTCAGAGACTCAATGTTATTCATCCACAAACTGGTCCCAGATTAAKCTCCTAAGTTTTCATCAGTCAGATTCCATCGTGTAAAACGTCTGTTTTATCGCCTTTTATGAGTTTTTAATGGTTTGACTCTCTTTATAAACTGCTGCTTCCTGGTACAATCGGCTCAGCGTCTGAGCGCTTTTAGCCCAAACACTCCCATGAACTTCTTACAAATCACACAATAAAGTTGTTATGTGGAGGGGGTACCTCACATGGTTGATCAGCTGTTCCCGCGGGCAGTCCAGCTTCGGCTCAGCTACAGCTGGACCCTCCCCCGCTGTCAGCATCTTCTCAGTTTTTCCTGTAACATGAAGAAAATCACATTTCTTTTTCTATGTCTCCAGACAGCATGTTACATCAATCAATCAATCAATAACTTTATTTTTGGTAAATCTTTCACATTAAACATTAAAAAACAACAACAACAAACAAAACAGTAACAATAAACAAACTCCTAATTTACCAAAAAAAGGAATAGGCTGAAGCCAAGCTTATTCTTGCCTACCCTATTTTCTGCTCAACAACCTGCCAAGATATCTTCACAATACATAAATAAATCTACATAAAAGCGTAAGATGTTATCATTTTACATTTCAGAGCTCTTTGAAAGCTCACCAAAAAAGCACATAAGGTTACTTTTTTGGTGAGCTTTAAAAAAAATCATAACATCACCAATACTAGTTGATTACAGGATTATTACAACTTTCCCGACAGTGGGCATYCTGGGAGGTGTAGTCCCAGCGACTTTGCGACTTCTACTTCCTATTCCCTACAGGCGTGCGTCTGACGTAATGACACTTTGCGTAGCCTGGCTGTTTCGGTTGAATTAAAAGAAAAATTCCTGTATCCGCATCATGATCCGGAACATCACCAAAATGTAATGGTGTTCCTTGGGCCAATACCCACATGTGGGAAAAAAAATTGCTTAATTTTGTCCACAGACCGACAGAACGACAGACAGACACACGCGACCGAAAACATTACCTTCTCCCTTTGGCGGAGGTCATAAATAAATTTTAAGTCTTCGGTATATCCTGTGTCTAGTAAACCACAGTACTATTTATAAGAAAATGTGTGTTTAGTCCCAAAATAGTTAAGAGTTTATGTTTCTGAAATTTATGAAAGTTGCCCCACCACACCTTGTCATCTGTTAGTTCATAAAACACACAGTCAGGTATCAACTCAAGTATCACTGATAACATTGAAGGAGAAACTCTCTCTCACACACACACACACTCACACACATGCACACACACACTCTGCCCCCGGTCAGATGCATCATATTTCAGAGATGTCTGTCAGCTGTGTTTTGAAGCCTGCAGTGCTTTCTCATGATTACCCTGTCACTGCTCCTTTCTTCAACATTCAGTCAGAAGATGAGAACACATACATTTGTCTGTTCATCTCATCCCTCACTCCCCGACTCCTCACTTCTCTCAAAATCAGCGCCTCGTAAATGTTTTTTTCTTTCTGCTTCCCAAACGGAAGATGAAAGAGCGTAGAGGTACATTGCGGGGCCATACGACAAACAAAAGTGGATGAAAGCGAGAAGCACAAAGGAGAAGAAGTGGGAGGAGAAGGAGGCAGATAAATATAGATGCTTAGTTCGTGGCATAATCACTAAATATGTTGGATGGAGATGGTAATTCTGGGTTTTGAAAATGAGTGATAATTAAATGCGATGCCATATTATGAGTCATGTAAGACAGTCAGAGGGAGTGCGTGTACATCTGTGTATGTGTCTGCGCCAAAACTAAACCGTAAAAGAGTCATGATCCACCGTGCTGGGGAATTTACATGCCCATTTCCATTTTCATTAACGGAAAATCAACAGAAAAATCTATTATTTCGGAGAGGAAACGAGAATTAGTGTGTAAGTAAAGAGGAGAGTAAAAATTTCCTTTTGCTAGAAATACAAGGAGCAGTTTTCACAACCAGAATAATCAAATAAGTGCACGCCTTTCGGATTATCACTCGGCATAAAACACCCCTCTCATTTGAATTGCAAATCGTTCAGATCGAGCTGAATCAGATCAGAATATTCTGACTGGGATGTTTACATGATGCATTTTTATTTCACTTAGTTGATTATAGCGATTACTTATGTCCATGTAAACATACTGTAACAGTGATGTATGTAATAAATGTTCCCACATTTATCTTTCAATCACTTTACATTAGATATTTTCTGAATCATGTTGGACTCTCCCCATTTGCTGTTTGTGAGCAGCTCAGTGGTGTGCAAGTGACTGAACCTCCTCCAGTTTCACAAAATCCTATATATATATATATATATATACACTCACCGGCCACTTTATTAGGTACACCTGTCCAACTGCTCGTTAACACTTAATTTCTAATC